GGGGGCTGGTGGTGTCATGAAAGAAAAATTAACTGAATTCTATGGTATGTTTTCATTTCTGTTGGAAATACTTTGGCTTCTTGACACAGAATAGATCATTTCAAATTTTTTTTAAATGGTAGTCCATAGTCTGTATTTGGAATCAATTGAGCTGTGAGTGATCTGAAAAAGTGAGGGGAGTATTTGCATTTTGCCTGTTGCCGTAGACTTTTCGTTTTTATTCATATTCAAACATACTAAGACATTGAATGAGTCTTTGGTTAAGAAAAAAGTTTCATGGAAGTCATTACTAACTTTACACAATGCAAAAAAAAAATTAATATTCTTACAGAGAAAATAGATGCTTTCACATTTGGATCATCAAAAGGATATGAACTTGTTTGTAAAAAGCAAGAGAGAAGAAGAAAACAGTAGCAACCAAACAGTTGTTGCCATATCAGAAATTATGTAGAAAGTAGTTTTTTTCTCAGTCAATCAGTATCCAAGGAAAAGAATACTCTTTACTTTAATAAGAAGGCATTCACTGACTGATTCAGTATTGCTCATTACACATAGTTTTTCTTCTACCATTCTACTCAATATAATTCAACGTTCATGGTGTTTGCGATTTGCTTTTCTTGCTTACACCACAGTGGTTTCAGAACCTCAATATGCAAGACTAGCTGGAGGAGATGCTATTCTAAGTTCCAGCTGGATGATTTCTTTGTTGTTTCTCGTGTCTGTCATTCAGAGTAAACCAAGACGCAAACACTGCAATTGTGAGGATCGTAAAGGAAGATGATGTGGGCATCTGGAACATATTACCACTTGGTGGTGGTGATGGTAACCTTGACAATGCAGAAATCATGTAAGTTCACCAAGGTTCTTAAGTCAGTGTGTAAAATTGTGAAATCCCTTGCGTCAAAAGAGTTAAACAGTGCATGTGCAATGGTTTTAGTAATTGGAATAGTAACGTTCAAGCAAAGCATTTCCGAAATTTTAGAACCCTGTGCCTTTTTGCATCAGTCTCTGATCAATGGGGCATTGCATCGGTCTCTCAAAACTGAGAGGTCTGAATTCAGTTAACACTTTTTACCAGCTTGACCAATTTTGAACAGATATAGTGATAACATGTACAAGGTGATTCTTGAATTGGGTGTTCTGTGATTGAATGTGAGTTTTAATCTATGCTACTGAATTCCTCAGCACGGCCGTGGGTCAGTTAGATCAAATAGCTGAGGATGATGACCTGTCTAAGGAGAATCTGAATCTGATTGAAGATGTTCTTGATCAAGTCAATACAGAAGGAGTTCAAAGGAAGTGAGTTCAGCCAACAGACTGTACACGATAAGTCTTATATTATTATTATGATCACTAGCACAAACTTGAATGTAACTTACTTAACTTCGCATTTTTGTCAACATTTTTTTGTCATTACTCATGTGACAGCATAAAGAAAATAATACACATTGAAATTTGCATAATACTGATTTGTCACTATTGTTTGAACTTTTTTTTTTTCTGTAGCGGAATAAAAAAAATAAGGTCTAGGTGCCAATTTGATCCTCAACAACCTGCTTAGCCAAATTTTTTCGAATATATTTGTGATAATTCTATATTTCTTTTTGCATAAAGAGAGGTATTGAGTTATTTTCACATTGATTTGTTTTCCATACAAAGGTCATATTTGTTTATTTACTTTGTTTCAACATCTTGTTTGTTTTTTGTATCTGTATAGCCCTTCGTGGTGTTCTCTTTTTTTCCTACTTTTACTGCATCCAATTTTTGTTAGTCAGGATAGTGCAGTTTAAGTAATTTTTTGGTCTCCGTCAAAATCGAAGCTTTACGTAATTTGTACATTTTCATTATCACAAATTTCAAATCTTACTTCAGTTTTCTGGAAAACTTCATTTCAAAGCTATTGTTGTACAGTTATAAACCATATGGCGCATGTCTTATAGTCTACACAATTGCCAAAAAAGGCTTATTTTAGGATGTACATTGTATGGGAGGACAGAGTCATGGTTCACAATGTTTGATGTACGGTGCACAAGAACTATCACGAAAGGGTTAATGAAGGCAAGAGCAGTCTCTCCACATTTCATGGATGGCCAGGTGTATTCAAAAATTTTCTTTTGGCTATGTCTTCATGCTTTCGGCATTACTCTATGAAAGTGCCCCTATTTTTATCCACCTGGTGAAAGATTTCGTGTCTTGTTTCTTTTACTATTTTAAGAGTTTTTAACTTATACTACCCTCTGAGTGTTGTTTTGAAACTTGATAAACCAACGTAAAATCGTATTTTTCTGATTACTGGTAGTCATGGAACGTTGATCTAAGATGGTTTTGTTCCTTAGATTTCCCCAAGAAGTTACCACTGCTGTGCGGAACCTCTACTGCAAATTGTTGGACCCTGAAAGTGCAGATGCCCGCAAGGGACGTAACTCTCTCACTGACCGCTTGGAAGGTTTTGCTTATACCCTCCTGACAGGCATTTCTTGTCCACCTCCTGTCAACTTTGACATGTGAGTCTCTTGCATGGAAACATTGAATTTGATTTTTTTTTAAAATTAGAAGGACACACGTACATACATGATACACTGTAGACATATCAATGCACACATTATATCATAGTTCCCTAACATAAATTATAAACATAGTGCTTGAAACATTGAATTTTGATTTTGTACAATTTTAGTTGAGCTAAAGTTATTCTTTATGTCAGTTGATAAGAATTGTGATTTGTTTTATGTTGTTGATCCATTGGCTTGGAGAGGAAGAAGAAGTATGAATGTACCCATGGCATTCCAACAGGCCATGGGTACATCCTTTCACATGGTGGAATAACACGCTTGAAAAAATAATTTGTAGTCAGATGTAAGTGTTTGATATTTGCTGCACTTAAAACATTTTTTGCCTTTCTTTATTCCCACTGCACCAGGTGACCTATTTGCTTCTAGTGCAGTGTTAAACTCACTCAACCACAATGACTATTGTGTCATGATACTGACTTGGCTTAACAATGTCAATAGATATTCAAATATATCAGTCAGCCGCCATTTTTACATTTGGTTTGCTTGTGTCAGCTTTTTGTTTCTTTTTTCTTCTTCTACTTTTAACCATTTTGTTTTGATACTGTCTTCACAGGGAAAGTACCCAGTGTGCTAACGTGAAGATCTCAGCAGGACGGTGGACTCCTGATCGACTGACCAACCATCGGTTCAATGTCCAGTAAGTTGAATATGAAGATGTTTTATGTCACACCATGCCATCTGTCGAAATAAAAAATATTTTTACTTTCAAGGAAGGGCTAAAGAAGATAAGAAAGAAAATGTTCTTCTTAAAATGCAAGGTGAAACTCTACTTGGGCAGCGGGGAAAGAGAGAGAGAGAGAGAGAGAGAGAGAGAGAGAGAGAGAGAGAGAGAGAGAGAGAGAGAGAGAGGGAGGGGGGGGGGAGGGGGGGGGGGGTGAGGGAGCAAGGGGAAAAGAAGAGAATCCTTAATTAATATTAGAATATTAGAATGCATTTTTATAGTATGTGCCAGCTTAAATGTAGGCTCTATGTTTTCATTTGTTAATGAACCCTGTTTGATTAAAATAGTATTAGAGTGTAAATAAAGTTTTCATTGTGTCACTAACGATATTCTAGATTGGACTCCTCCTTTGAGCTCAGCACTTTTTTGCAAGCTGCCATATCACCATTTTTACAGGTTTTTGAGAAATATGTAATTATTTGAATGCCGTGGTGATCTATATAATGCTCATTATGATTTTGAGGTATGTGTAAAATAATAAAGTTTATATTTGAGACCATGAGGAAGGCGGAATATTCTGATTTATTTTCATAGATCAGAGGACAACCTGAGGGCCCCTGAAGTTCTCCCAGTCTCTGACACCTCCCAAGATGGAACAAATGATGAGGTATTGTGTGACTCTCTAGTTCAATGTTATTGATAAATCAGTGGCATGCGCTAAATCTATGATGACGAAGGTTATGCGCTTCCTCTCCCATAGGCAGGTTGAACTTTGGCACTTATCCAAATGGCACAGGTTGGTTACTGAAAAATAAATAATAGTTATCACATAAACAAATGTATCAGTTGTGGTTCCCCATTTAGTAAAATGAGGTTTGGATTGTGAAAAGGAAATAAGAATTCACGTTCACTCAAAGGTCTGTGACTTAAAAGAAGAGCAAAGTTAGTTTTTGAAAAAAATGTCATGATCATAATTCCTGATACCAGTGTGTACGTTGACCTGTCAACATGATTTGCATGCCTCTCAAGTCATTACCACTGCCTTTAATTATAGAGATGACAAGGTGTTGAATTCAAATTTTCGAACATTGTGCCTTATTACTGGAATACTTCACCCAACTGTTAATGATTTTTTTTTCTGAAATTTGGTCTGTTTGTGGTCCAGTTAATTCATTCTGAATGTAAACCAAAGACAATCCGAAGTTGAGGGTTAACTTGTCTTTTCAATTGTCTTTCTAGATATCTCCAATTAAAGAAACCAGTGCTTACTTAATGAGTGTGTTATATAACTTAACACTTGGTAGTTTTCCTGTTGATTTGACTCAATTTTTATTGATTCCTTTTTTGACTAGTCATAAATTTTCCTTATCTTGATTATTGAGTAGTTTCTTAGTTAAACAAGCTTCGCGTTCTTTGCAATAGAAACATGTAAAGAGTCATGTTTTACCATCATCCTTATTACTCTTGTCATGAAGGTTTTGGCAACCTCATTTCTCTCTCTCTCTCCCTTTCTCTCTCTCCCCCCCCCCTCTCTCTCTCTCTCTCTCTCTCTCTCTCTGTCTGT